CCAAGAAAAAGGCTAGGAAGCACATCCAAAAAAATAGTGCTTGCATCCAATCCAATCAATCCAGATTCCAGGCTCAGGCCCCCTCGAGCTCGGCATCACTTGCAGGATCTGCTGGCGCAGCTCTTTCTGCTCCAACTGGTCTTCCTCTTCCATCCCAAGCGTACACTTGACAGAGCTCTTTACCCTCTAATGCAGCTTCAAACCATAGCCACCTCGGCCTCCGAGATTCAGCCTCTTCCATCAGAGCAATGTCCTGTCATTGAAAGTCTTAAAGAAACATCGCCAAAAGAAGCTCACAAGCAGGGCAAATCTACACGTTTTTTCCAGTCACCCTCTTTTCCACGGTGTAGTTTTGTTTTTTTGTTGTTGTTGTTTTTTTTACTCTTTTGGCTCTTTGGTGGGCCCCCCATCCAGCTCCCAAATAATCACAGAGGCTTATGCTTTCTTATGAATATCCGGCCTTAGCTTGGCTTGTTTCTTGCCAGCTTTTCTTAACTTAAATTATCCCATCTATCTTTTGCCTCTAGGCTTTTATCTTTCTCTATTCTATATACCCCTCTTTACTTCTTACTCTGTGGCTTGCTGTGTAGCTGGGTGGCTGGCCCCCAATATCCTCCTCCTCTTCCTTCTCTCACTCCTCGATCTCCTCTTCCCAGATTTCTCCTTCTATTTATTCTGCCTGCCCGGCAGCCCTGCCTATCCCTCTCCTGCCTAGCTATTGGCCATTCGGCTCTTTATTAAACCAATCAAGTGTTTTAGACAGGCAAAGTAACACAGCTTCACAGAGTTAAACAAAGGCCACACAAAAGAATGCAACACATCTTTACATCATTAAACAAACATTCTACAGCATAAACAAATGAAACACATTTTCAACTAATATTCTACAACACCATGTCTTAAGATAGTCCAGAATTTCTTTCTTTTTTTAAAGATTTATTTATTTTTGTGTGCATTGGTGTTTTGCCTGTGTGTATGTCTGTGTGAGGGTGTCAGTCAGGTTCACTGGAACTGGAGTTACAGACAATTGTGAGCTGCCATGTGGGTGCTGGGAATTGAACCTGGGTCATCTAGAAGAATAAGCAGCCAGTGCTCTCAACCACAGAGCCATCTCTCCAGCCCCAGTCCAGAATTTCTAATGGAAAAAAAAGCAACTGTGTGCTCTGTCAACCCTAACTCCCAATGTCCAAATCAAGGCTTGGGATGAAATAAAATATACCACTCCTGGCACAAATCCTGTCCTCTTATAACCCACTGTGGCCTTGGGACTCCTGAAGCCTGAACTGTGTAAGGCAATCCTCACCTCATCAGTAATGTACAGTAATCTTATTTCCATTCCTGGAATTAATTTATCAGTTTCGTGAGAAATCTGCAACAAATTGTAGAAACCACAACATAACTGGACATACATATATGAAATTCATAACAAATACAAAATACAGAAACAAACAGCATGAGTATTACTCTCAAGTTGTCTCACAGTACGCTTGAGCGACGCCATCCATCCTCAGGATCTCATGTGCTTACTGGCTCTCTACATTAAGTTATAAAAGGTTTTAAAATTCAGGAGGGGGAAATGTCACATTCTGCTTCAATCGTATCACTTTCATTTGTAATACCATATTAAAAGAAATCTCTACAGAAGGGATAAGGGATGTGGCTCAGTGATAGAGCGTTTCCTAGTATGAATGAGGCCCTCGGTTGGGAAGAAGGAGGGGAGGGAAGGAGGAAAAAGGAAAGAGAAGAGGGGTCAGGAGAAAGACTAGAGCGAGCTGATTCTAAAATCAGACTGACTCATAGGAAGAAAAGATGGCTCCTCAAAGGCTGTCACAGAAGCCAGCAACCACACCCTCCTGCCTGTCTTCCTACCAGACAAACCCTACATTTGAGCCTCATTATCTCTGGCCTTTATCAGTCCATTCACCACAGGACTAGGGAGTGTAGGGAGCGCTATCTCAAAATCACCATTAAGAGCCAACCGATGGATTGCTAACCCAGGGCAAAGCTCTTGACAAACAGAGGGAGAAAAAACAGACTGTAAACAGATAGGAGGCTATCAGAAGATGGAGAAAGATAGTTTTGCAGAAATTTAGCCAAGGGGACCAAGGCAAAGATCACTTCCTCATTAGGGTAGAGAACCTTCAGCTAACCCTGCTCTCCAATGCTGGCTGCCGTTTGTGTAACAGCCCCACAGACTTCAACTTACTCCCACACAGGAAGCATTCCCTCCTTACTCTCTTACACATGTCTTTTCATAACCTGAAACTCACCATACCAACATGACTGCTATTTTCTTCTTCTTCTTTTAAATCTTCCTTTCTTGCAAAACAACCTCGGTCTCAAAACCTTGGACTGATTTAAAGATCCCATCATCAACTACAAAAGCAACTGGTATATGGTTAAGTATGACACATTGATTTAGCTCTCTTAGCTCACTGCTCTACACTTTCGGATGTCTGGTGCATTTCCTTTCCTGTGCAAGAAATGTGCCTATGTTGCTTCTACATAGACCGTTTTCCATAGCCCATGTCCACTTTACTCAAACAAAACAAACCTTGTCAAGAGCCGCACAGCCTCCCCTTCTGTCTGGCTATTTCCTGAAGCCATTGGTACATCATTTCTTTCTCTCCCTATAAATCTAGGTAATACCAAGGGGGGAAAAAAAAAATCAGCATAGAATCTATTAGCCTACCAACTTCAAAGAAAATTTACTAGGGGGAAAAAGAAAGGTAATTTATGAGGTCAAGAATTAGGTCATCAGTAGCCTGACTACAAAGCATGAAAGAGCCCCTGTCTGCGCTTTCAGTACCCATCTGCATAAGAAGTGATAGGAAGGAGGAGGTCTTAAGTCATCTTGAAGGCGTCCACGCGGGTTATTTTCACTCATTGTGGCATGGCTATCACAGGCAAGAACTGAGAAGAAGAAATAGATGCTGAAATTAAACTCGCTGTGTCTCTGGGCCACACAGCATCAGTGTGAGAGGGACACGCTGGCCCAGGTGGGACATGGCAGGACAGCACAAGCAACTTGAATGGCTAATAAGTTAGCAACCAATGACCTTAACCAAGAATCGCCAGTGACGAGGAAGCCGGAACTTGCCTCACCCTTGTGAGGAAGCTGGCTCTGAGCTCAGGAAAGACTAAACTCACAAGTATTAGGAGCAGAATATAATGCAATCACTCTTCTTCCACATGCTAACCCTTCCTGTTTCTAGAATCAGGTCTTGAAGCTTTCCCCTGCCTGTATATACATGTATGTGTGTGTTTAAGTCTATATGAATGTGTGTTTATAAATATAAACTATCCATATATGCTATATTTAGTGATTTATGGTTACTTTTAATTCTTTTTGTGTTGTTTACCCGTTTCCCACACTCCCCCAAAGGGTACTTTGAAATCTTTCCAGTTTTTACAATTAAACCTAACCATCTGGACAAAAATCTTCACATTCACTAAATGAGTCACAGATTTTGTGGGTAAGCTGAGAAACTAAATGCTATGCTCAGCGCTAGGATTTAAACCACATCTACCACAGCAAAACACTCTCTCTCCAATAATCTCTCCAATTATGCACGCACATTCAGACTCAAATAACATGGAGGCGACTACACCCCACTGCACAGAGTTATTTATCAAGTTAGCTTCATTCTTTACGTCCTAAAACAAGCAACAACAAATTCCAAATGAGGGAGACTCCAGAAACCTTTTAGGATTCATGGAGATGAAAGAGAAATCATTACCTAGTTCTTCACCACCTTTTAACTCTTGCCTTCTCTTGGTGTATGGTGGCAAGCCGCTCACCAGACTAAAAAGTAACTTGAGGGGCTCGGGAAACCGCTCAGCAGTTAAAAACCTATACCTAGAGGACTTAAGTTCGGCTCCAACACCCACGCCAGGCTGCTCACAAGTGCTGTAACTCCAGCTTCAGGGAAGATCCAACACCTCTGGCCTCCACGGGCACGGGCACTCACACACACACACACATGCACACGCGTGAGCATGCACATATCCCTACACACACACACATCATTTTAATAAATAGAATAAATCCTTAAAAGAAATCTATTTGAAAGAATCTGTATGTTGAGTGTTGTATTCTAGTAAAGATGTGGACTAGATAAACAGTTCAAGCATAAAAGTCCTCTGGTTCCTTCGGTGTTTATGACATTTGTCAGAAACTCAAGGTGTTTAGGATTTACTATCCGGACAGCTGAACTCTAACAAGGCAAGTCATTTCGTGTTGTCATCCGATCACTGGCACATACCAGCAGCTACTAAGAGTTCCCGTCACTCTAAGACCAGGCAGGATTAGCCCCTGGAAGTAACCGCAGCTACACTAGCTCAGGGCCATGGAAGAGATTGGTTGGTACCAGGAAATAATGTACGCGATCTTGCAGCAGGCTGGCGGATTCACGTGGTAGTCTTTCAAAGTGTACCTTAAGCCTTTAATATAAGCTAAGATAGAAAGTATTAGACTTGGTGTAAGCAGATTTATAGAAATCATTTTCAGAGCATCTTAGCTTAGCTCCCTCCCCCACACGCATTTTATACTGGTAACAAAAAGGATCCATCCAAATAGCATATAAAACAGGCCAAACCGGACCAGCAAGACCTGAGAGGAGCTCCTATGTTAAGTTATAGGGGCAGAAAACTCAGCTTCGAGACAGGGTTTCTCTGTGTAGTTTTAGTGCCTGTCCTGGATCTTGCTCTGTAGACCAGGCTGGCCTCGAACTCCCAGAGATCCTCCTGCCTCTGCCTCCCCGAGCGCTGGGATTAAAGGCATGCACCACCGCCACCCGGCCCTCCCCCATTCTTTATCCTCTTTGTGAATAGAAACGGAACACCTGAGTAGAAGGCATGTTTAGATGACGACTTCTTAAAAGGCTGGCGAGTATTTCCATCATGGAGGCAGTGACAACTGGCAAAAAAAGCTTTCTTTCCAGGAAAGGTTAAGGCTGTAGGGACATTCATGCTCACACCGCCCCCATGTTTTCACACAGGTAAATATGGAACGCTTCACGAATTTGCACGGCATCTTTTCGCAGGGGCCATGCAATGTCCCTGTATCATTTCAACTTAGGTATATGCGCTGCGGAAGAGAGCGCCATGTTTTTCCAATTTTTACACTTACATTTTGGTTTGCTAAGCAAACATTAACATTTAAACAAAGAATGATCACCAAAGAATCAAATTTAGGTGAACATTTGAAGAAGTTCATCATTTTAGTAATTTTTTGGGGGGCGGGGGGACAGGTTCTCCTGTGTAGCCCTGGCTGGCCTAGAACTCATGAAGATCCACCTGCCTCTGTCACTCGAGTGCTGGGATTAAAACTCTGAGGCACCAGGTCCAGTAATTCTTTACATTTTAAAGCACATTTTCATTTGCTCTGCTTGGTGACAAGGGTAGTTGTGGCCAACGTGAAGGTGTAAAAGTCTACAGTGTCAAATAATTAAGCTGAATTCTCACAGGAGGAAAATCAGGCCTCTTCACTCATTAGTATAGAATGTATTACCAGAAAAGCATCAGATATAAAGAACAGCACATTTAAAACGTCAGAAGTAGTTTGAGAATGAGGCCATTTAGACCTGATCTTTTATATCTTTTTTGTTCCTCAATTCCTTCATCGCCATTATATATGAGTCACACACTAGTCCCTCGGAGAGAGCTCCCAAATAAAGCTACCAGCCTGCCATTTGGAGGAGAAATCATGCCATTTCAAAGGGATAAAAAACATTAAAATAATAGGACCAAACCTTGAGGGAGAAGACAACCCAGGTCACTTTAAGCAAACTGGGATCTTGTAAGCTCCGATTTTTAAGAATGTGTCAAGTGGGACTAGAGGAGTGGTTCAGTGGTGGAGAGCACCCAGCTGGCCGGGCATGGTGGCTCACGCCTTTAGTCCCAGCACTCAGGAGGCAGAGGCAGGTGGATCTCTGTGAGTTCAAGGCCAGCCTGGTCTAGAGTTAATTCCAGGACAGACAGAGATACACAGAGAAAGCATATCTCAAATAAATAGATAGATAGGTAGATAGATAGATAGATAGATAGATAGATAGATAGATAGATAGATAGATAGATAGGTAGGTAGATAGATAGGTAGATAGATAGATAGATAGGTGGATGGATGGATGGATGGATGGATGGATGGATGGATGGATGGACAGACGGATAAATGGATGAATAAATGAATGAATAGAGCACCGAGTTCGAAGGATTGGGTTTCAACACATAGCAGAGAGGCAGCTCACAACCATCTCTAACTCCAGTTCCAGGGCATCCAATGTCCTCTTCTGGTCTCTCTGGGCACTAAGCCTACACGTGGTGCACAGACACACTTGTAACCCAAACAAACAGCCATGCACATAAAATATTAGAGAACGCATCACGTAGTGAACCAGTTGTTTTAATGTTCTGGTAGGATGGCTTTGATGGTGGTCAGGCAGGATCAGAAGCCACTAAAAAAATATTTGGAACTGGAGTTATCAGAAAGTGTGACAGTTTTTAGACAAAAAGAGCAGTTTGAAATAAGGGGTTTCACTCCTAAGACTGATGTAAAAATGTAAGTAGTGAATGAGGAAGTGTTTAGACTTGACACTTCCAGAAAACAGTAGTTTACTGGAGACACCCCTAAATCTTTTTATCCAAAAGATTAGAAGGCTGAACTACAGCTACCATGGGAACAAAGGCCATTGTTTCGGGTATTCTATTGTACTAAGAAAAGTTCATCTGACATTGTCTAAAGAGAATCGCTCTGGCTTCAGACTGCCAGACAACAGCTCTCTGGCCCCTAGATTGCTATGCGACTTCACTGCCTTCCTGGAGAGTCCCTTTCTATTCAGAACCATGCTACTACCCAATGAAATAGGGGTATTTCTAACAAATGTCCCAACAGTTCTGGAGAATGTGTTGGGTAGGACCTTGGGGTACCAAGGGCCCTCCGCTACCCATCCTCATGCCCAAACCTGTCTTCTACTCCAGGTAGTAGCCCTCTTTGCTTGACCCTCCCCACCACCATCCCAGGGAAACAGAAGACGAAACACAGCAAGAGTGCTCGAGCCCTTCTCTCAGCTACAAGAATCTTAGGGTTTTAACGTCGTGACCAGGCAAGGAACTGATAACCACCCGCCTTCCCAACTCCTGCCTCATTTCTCAATAGTTTAAGAAATGTTCTTGGCCAAGCAGTCTTCCTGGTAAATACTTAAATAATTCATTCTCTTGTCTCCCTACATGCATAGAAGGGACCTGGGAGAAACACTTGCTCGTGATCACGAAGCACAACCCTGGGCATTCAATCTCTGTCATTTACAGGCTCATTTTGTCACCCACCAGTCCATAGGATTTAGTGAGGAGTAAGTCTTAGTGTGTAAACAAACGGTTTGCTCTACAATTAAACCATTCATTTGTCCTTTTTTGTTGTTGTTGTTGTTTCACAGCTTGGCTGCGGCCCAACCCAGAGACTCCTAGGTTCGTCCATTATTTTGCTCTCCCAACGGTTAAAAGGGAATAAGCTCATTCGAGTTTAGAAAACTATGCAGCATCAACAAAGGCATGTAATGTTTCCAAGACGCACAGTGGCTTTCCAAATACACAATGAGTAGCTGTGTGCAGCAGCACCTCACCCCCCACCCCACCCCCAACACAAATGCCAGGCCCCAATTAAGCACCCTGGGGGCCTTCAAAGAAGTTATGCTAAGTTGCAAATACAGCAAGATCCACTTGAAATCCAACTGTCCTGTGTGCTTTTCCTTCTAAGATAGGCAAAAAGATTGGGGCAGACTGACCTTATTAAGGGGTAATTAGTGAATCCCAGGAGTGGAAAGACCACCACAGTCATGCTTATTATGAGGTTTCGGTAAAGAGATGCAATGCTTTTTAAACTAGGGGGTCTCCACAATCTAAGAGGCCCATGTTTTAAAACTGTAGGGATTTCAATCTGCCCGTTTTTCTTTTAAGACATTAAGGGAGAAGAAAGGAAGTCACACAAAAAAACTTGCTTATTGCTTTTATGAAGTTTGTATATAGTTTAAATTAAGGACTTTTGTAGAAATCAGTTGAGTCATTTATATTTCATAGATAATAAACATGAAGAGTTTTGGTAAAATCACCTAAGTTATTTACATTCCATATATAATAAATAAAGTAAAATAAGACCTGTTTAAATACAGTGAAATAAACACTCCTTCTTGATTACAGAGATTGAAAATAGCACATAAAAAGGATGATAAAAAAAATCAATCAACATGGGGCTTTTATTATTATATGACAATGACCTTGAAAAGACAATGGCTGCATTCATTTACACGTGAAAGTGTTACTTAGAAACTGAGTGACGTGATCAACATAACCACTTTACCATCAATAAAACCCTTCACACCTCTTTAAAGCCCATTACTGTTGTTGGTATCAATCTGCCAAGATGCTTGAGGAAGGAACTCTCCTATAAAATGTGCCAATAAATTCCCCTGTTTACATCCTTTAATGCCAAGAGTACCACCTCTCCACCAATGCTAAGCCCCAGGTCCACTGTCATGTGTACTAAAATTCTCCAGGCCAGTATTTGAGAAAGTGGTTTCCAAGGGATGTAATGAAAGAGCATTCTTAACTTTTCTTTCTTGGCCAAGATTTAAACACCTCCAATGTTCACACAAATCAAGTGTATCAACAACTTTGTGAAAATTCATTGAAAAGGAGAAAATAGAGTAATGAACAGTGTTGTATAAAAATTCCTCCCGCAGTAGAAGCAACCTGAAACCCAGAACCCAGTCCCTTCTCATAGTCTGTGCACGTCTGTATGGGGGTGGGGGTTAGGTCGTGGGACTCTATAGGTAGCAATACAGTGGCACCAACAACCCCAAGAGGTTGTGCTCCATGGGCTTGGGCACAATTTAGGGGAATGGTTAGTGCCTACAATGACATCATTAATGCAATCCTATTTATCAAACCAAGCGATGACCCAATTACTCTATCTGGGGTTACAGCTTTTGGCCATAAAAATGAAAGAATTTTAAAATGTAGCATGTAACTGTCTCGGCCAAATATAGCTGTGCTATATTTAGAAGTAAATTTGTATTTGTGTTCTATTAAAACACTCCACAGGGGCCCCTCCTTAGCCAAATATCCTGTTTTGTTTATTTCAGAAATTCTACAAAATGTTTTTTGCAAAACTTAGACATATGCAATATGTTCTGGGAAATTTTGAAAGATGGCTGTGGGAGCGGGGGTGGGGTGGGGTGGGGTGGGGAGCGGGGACCCTAACCAAAGGACTAGCGACCCCTGGAAGTTCCTGATAACCGAGAATTCTCCCTCTTCGAGTAAATCCAAGGGCTCAACAAATGATAGATAGATAGATAGATAGATAGATAGATAGATAGATAGATAGATAGATAGATAGATAGGTAGATAGGTAGGTAGGTAGATGGATGGATAGATAGATAAACAGACAAATAAATAGATGGATAAATAAATAAATAAATAAATAAATGTTGAAGGGCATTAATTTGTTTCTAGACGTGTGCGTGTAAGTAAAACAGCAGTCATAATGTGGAAATTTCAGTCACATTTTACAACTAATTGGAAGCAGATTAGAATTCCGCCTCGGGGGAACGTTGTCAGACTAGAAGCTGGAGCAAATGAAGAAAGAGGTGAAGGCGTCCTGAAGAGCTGACAGATTTACTGCGCTCAGGGCCATAAACGGGTCCCCGCTGCAAGGAGGGCGCGTCCCGCAGTCCAGGAGCGCGCAGCGAGGCCCCTAGGAATCCGGACTGCTGGATATCTGGTCCCCTCATACACAAAACATAAAAGGGACCTGCACAGTGACACATGGGTGGATGCCCAAGTCCAAGGGGGAGGGCCTTTCTTTGCCAGGTGGGGGAGGGGACGGGGGAAGGGGAAGCAGCTTGTGAGGGCTCATAGAGCCATGAAGTAATGGAAACAGCTGCTGGCTTTCGACTTCAATGTCTGGCATCTGCTGCGCCATCACGGGAAAGGCTGGGGAAGGATTTGGGCATGGAATGTAAATGGAGACAATTGCCCAAATGGAGCTGGATGCAGGGGGTGGAGGGAGACCAATTGCTCCCTTCTGACACCACGTTGCTCCCTGTGGGCA